CCTGACTAATTTTACAGGGTAACCACATGATCCTAAATATATATAATTGTGGAACTTGTAGGATATTTAATATCTTAGCTAAACGTCACCTTGGTTTGAACCCACAATCTCAATTATGTCTGCCTAGATTTACAACTTGCCCCTTGTTCATTAGATCAACAAAAGGGAGGTTAGAACTTATAACCTTGGAATCTCGATCACTACTTTTAGAATTCCATATTTGCTTTTGATGATAGAAATCCAAAGAGAAAAGTCTTGCAGGAAAATCTTCACAGTGATAAGCAAAAAAAAATGCTTTATTACAAAAACCTGATTATCAATTCCACGACTATCCTTGGTAGATTTAGTACTACAAAATAGTATAATACCGAACATAATTGTATTACCTGAAACAGTAAAATACTTCATTCCCTTATTTGCAAGTCAGTTATTTAAAGAGAGATTGACGAAGAAATGACTTAGTTTTGGTTGGAAGCAACTTAATATTTAAAGAGAGATTGACGTGTGTGTTCGGTGATGGAATTCATTAACATATTGTCACGTACAGCTGATTTGCATGCACATGCCTTGAAACCTACTATGTTTTACCTCTAGTGGAGTTTGACTCACCCATCTATGATCATGCATGCAGTTTGAACACATTGCTTCGCCTTGATTGATTCTTAACAAATTTGAATTGTATGCATATGGGAGCTAAAAATTTCGTGAATTTGTAGAAGCCATCGTAGTTTTTCACTTGTTGTATTATGTGGAAATGGAGTATTGAATAATGTGAAGCATTTGTCACTGTACTGTATAAAATATTACTCAAACTTTCCTATCGGGGCAAGCTATTTTTCTTAGTAATTCTTAGTTTTTTTTTGGCACACAGGCATGGGTAGATTTAGGGACTGACTCAACAATTTCAATATAAGGTTAGAGCCTCCTTCCTTGATTTCTCCTATGGCGTGTGATCTTTCTCTAATTATAGTCTTCCTTCCCTCTTATCAAAACCAAGACCGGTTCTACAGTAGTATATATTGTCCATGATTTAATCTGTGATGTATTTGAAGGATGAAAATTAGTCATCTATGTTCCTTCATTGGTGCCAATTGTATTTCCTTAGTACCATCACTTTCATTTGTAATGACCGTTGAAAATTTGGTTTTATTGCAGGAACAGGAGCTTGCAGGCGCAGCTGTGATACTAAAGTGTGGAGTTCGTATTCCATTTTAGAAGTGGAAGGTTTTTACATAAAACTTCTGTGTATTCAAGAATTTTTAGAATCGTAGATAAAATTATTTGTAGACAGATCTATAATGGGGACA